CTTTGTCAAGTAAACTCATGAGAACCAATGAATATTCATGAAAAGATTCCTCATACAGTTGGTTTTGACGGTAGAACATCTCCATCAGATGAGTCAATGAACCAGGATCGCCAAAGACCTCATGAATAATTTGAAGTAATTTCAGTGGGTCAGACCTGTCTTCCTTAGATCTATACTTTATTTCACTCTTGGCGGAACCCTGCAGATGACCCATAATGTACTTAACTGCTTCACTGCCTACTAAAGAGCGAGAATTTAAATAACTACGTACATCATCTATCCATTCCTCTACTTCAGGGTCGCCATCCTTACAAGGCCTCCCTTTCAATATGGCTATCTTCTTTGATTCTTTAGTCACGTACACTGTTCTTGTCCTCTCCAAGTATTGTGACCTGGGGTCTTCATAACCAGACGAGCCAGCACTTGCCTGACCACGAGCTATATTCACAGATTCTAATTCTTGAGTCAATTGACTAACCTTTTTAGACTCCATATCCAAATTAAATTGGGTAGTACCAAGTCTATTCTCAAATTCTTCTGCACGATCCTTTTCATCAAGATACATTTTCTCAAAACCAGCCATCTGTGTGACTGCTTGACGCTGTTGAGACAATTGCTCTTGTAGTTCAGCAATCTGTTCTTGTAAGGCATTCATTTTGAAGCCAAAACAACCAAACAAACCACAACTACTAAAACGCTAAATTTTGACAAAGACCAAAAACGTCAACAAAACTACAAAGACAGCAAAAATTGCAAAATACTAAAACTAACAGTTTCACAGTTACTAAGTGTTTGCACCATTGACCTATTCGACTAATCTAAATTCAGGTGTAGCAGTACACTCTTAAAATCGATCTAGAAAAATAGAATTCGTAACCTTAGGGATTACACATGGTCTAAATAGTACAAAGGCGGTCTGAAAAACCTCAAGATTTGAAAAATGCGAAAACCGATAAAGCAAAAATATTCTCAGTACAAAATTACAATGTTGATATATAAATAGAAGCATTTACAAGGAGAATTCTGAGAATCTCAAATATTGCATCAGTATAACCACACACAATTTAGTATGGACCCATGTAAATATCACAAAAATATTCAACATTCTAACTACATATCCATACCAAGGTAGAAACAAATCCACACAATAGTATTGTATGTGATTGTACACGTAGATAAAAGAACAATTACATGGACTTGGATACAATATACATCTCAAAAAAGTTCTGGCATTGTGTAATATACATAAAGTCAAATACACTACTGTTCAGGTAGAACATTGCCAAATACTAATGTTTATCTACAGCTCAAAAACATTCAGTTCAAAATCACTCCAACTCACGAATTTCTTCTTTGCTTGCCTTGCTTGGGGTGGAGACTAGGGTTACTTGCCGGCATATTGTCCTGATTGCTTGCTTTCGTAAGATGCAGCTCCTAGGGTTCACGAAACCTTTTCAGCATAACACTCCAACGATGAGGTTTAGTCAGATTACCATTTGCAGTCATCCATCCTGCCGACTACGCCAAATGTGACTAAGGGATAAATAAGTATGGACGACAGAGGTATAATTATGTGGTACAACGAATTCCCGTACCGAGTTTATTTACCAAGATTACACAGGAGAGCGACACTGTAAATTACAGGAACTAAAAACCTAAAAGATATGAAAATGCAATAATTTACATTGAGAAAATTAACGATAATTCAAATAAAAAAATACATTTCACACTAATACTGAAGTCGCCATTCAATGAAAGCGAACAAAAGATTAGTTAAAGCACATGCCAGGAACAAAGGGTTGCATGGTCATTGAAGCACATGGCCAGAACAATAGAAACAATCTACATACCCCGTCAGTTGGTCAAATCTAACAAATTCCACTCAGTTTGGCTTGCAGAAGTTAAAACTTTCTACAGTTGAAATGAGCTGGACTCCGAACATTCGCAAACCAACTCCAGGCTGAATGGTTCAGTGGCCAGTGAGGTGACAGGACGAGATGCTCCTCAGACGAGTCCAATGATGTTACTGACCCAAACTGACTTCTCAGTGCTGAGTTTCATGGGAAATATGCAAATTACTTCTAATCACTCATGTGTGCCTTTTTTTGGCAAATTCTATGATAACTAATAAATTAAATTACTGAAAATACACAAATCATATATCTTAAATAAATGGTTTAAATACATGTCTACATTATCAAAAAAGGTCAGTAGAAATAATCAAAAAAATATTACAGATTAAAGAGCGCTCTCAATGGCCAACTTTACTAGCTCACACGTGTATGCAAATGAATACATTTACATATATATGTGTATATATATAGTTGACGCTGTTAGTTATCACAAGTGTCTAGTATTGCTTGGTTGTTGTTATTGAAGTTTAAATTGTGCAGATATACAGGTAGGTTATATAGTACCAATTGTTTATCCATTAAGCACACATACATATTTCTTTTGTAATATAGGTTGTTAAAAATCATAAATAAATGTCTGAGTTTTAATATATTCGGCAACGCACCTAGTTGAATTGCAATTGAATAAATTCAATAATTATCAAGGTTTTCAATTCACATTGTGGCTCTTCGTTATATTATTAGCAAAACACATTATAAATGTGTGATTTAATATCTGTTAAATTAGTGAAAACGACGATGTAAATTTTGACTCGTATTTTAAAATTGTAATTTTTCATAGTGAAATCAAATTTGCACTCTGAAATATCACTGGCACATAACATGTCTATCAAATTTGGTTATTTATAACCTGTGCATGATTAATTCTATTTGTTCTTGTTGTTACATACTTTTTACATTAAGAAACCAGACACCATACGTCGCTTATCCCATAACATATCACATAGTGCATGTATTTCAGAACACTATTGTGTTTTTTTCGCTACATGCTCTTTTTTGCGATACGGTATCAGACAATGACTTGAATGTTTTATATATCAATCTCGCACTAATATTACCGTATACTGAAAGACGTGTGTTTTTTGAATTTGGTATTTACAAAACACAATTTCAATTAGTAGCAGCAAGTATTTTATGCACATATTGTATATTAACTGTTCATGCGCTAGTATTCGGCGGAAACACAATTTGACGTCGTACGTGGAAAGTACATGGTCAATAAGCTGGAAAATCACATAGATGGGTTTGCGTGAATCTATGCACAGGATATTCATTTCTTATAATCAAACATGCCGCATCATATAATTACCATCCTCTAAACATTGCTCCGTATATAAGGCTAAAACTGTCAATGCCTTGTAATTATTTAAATGAAAATTTAATTCTTTTGGCATGAATAATCCAATGTCAATAGAACCATATTTACATTGACTATATGAAAATAGTTTATTGATTTCATTGATACGAAATATAATTCTTCTTCCATATGGCAGGCGCTGAGTTAATCTCATTTCGGGAAATAAATGTGACAGCGCTCGAGGGAACAATCACAAAACTAGAATACATATTTTTTCTGAGTGCTAGAATGAGGTTCGTGTATAAGTTGATTTGCTAAGTAGTATCAACTCACTGAAACAATTTACTAAACATTTAGCCAAACTTTCGGCAAACATTTTGTTTCTTTTCTTTACCAAATTACTGCGCAAACTGCGTTCAAATAAGAATTAAATTGTATAATAGCGGTGTTTATATACAACAAAATAAATTACTTTTTTTCTAATTCTCATCGGATTCCCCGTAATAAGTTTAGTCGCTATTAAGAATATTGTCATTATTTTAAAGGACAACAGTTTTAAATGCAAGACGCTCCAGCCCGATAGTTCTATTGAGTACATTATGCAACATATTGGAGTACGGCGCTCCAGTAGTGGTCGTATAAACGAAGACGTGTTTATATAGTCTACTAGTTAATTTGTGTAATCAAAATACCAACAACTAATTGACGTTAAAAATTTACTCAATGAAACGTGCGTTTTTAGAGCATCATCGAGTTTTCAACGTTTGAAGAGTTACACCTGGAAATGCGACAAAAGCTAAAGTTAGAAATGCAAAAATCACAAATTAAGTAAATTATGGAGTTATACATTGTTAACAACTTGATACACGCCAACATAGAAATAAAAAAACAATTTGATTTAACAATTATTGCTATACTATAATTTATTACGTAGCAATGCCATGACAGGTTATTGTATCACAGTGATGAAAAAGTGTAATAATTTCTATATTACATTGTAATACAAATCTCAGGAATAAGATTGGTCAATGAAAGCAGAGACTCGTATACGCGCTCTCGAATTCCGTTTCCGACGTGTGCGTTTTAAAATCTAGTAAACCGGTTTTTCAGGCGACGTCATCTGACATCAATTATATCATACACACGAGTAAATTACGCCTCGTGCATTGCTAGATTGCCACATGATCATGATTGTTTTCGAGTAAGACGGCCTTAAACATATTTTTTGATGTTCAAGTTCCAATGTGATACTCAGGAAAGTTCTCAATGTTTGTCTATATCTAGTTTATATATGTCACATATTCAAATAAAATACATGAATAAGACAATGAAAGTGCAGTCAAATTTTATGTCTGATGAATAATGTTTACGGCTTTCTAGCCAACCTTTCTACTTCCCGATTTTCTAATAAACTTTTACGACTTTTTAGCAACTATTTCGAATTTCAAGCAACCTTTTAGGATTTTGCAGTCAACGTTTATCAACTTATAACCAAATTTTGACATAGCATTTTGAATTCCAGGCCTGATTTTCGACATTTCTCCTACTTTTATGACTGTACAGCCAACTTTTCTGACTTTCTAGACAACTATTTAATATTCTTTTACAAATTGTAGACCATTTTATATTTTTTCAACATTCCAAGCAGCTTTTCCATTTTTCTGGTAAATATGCCATTTGTTATAACTTTCTAACCAATTTCTTTGACTTTTCGACTTCCCACCACTAACTTTCGCTTGTTTATAATCACCATGTAATTCTTTCTATCCAAGTGACCAAGCAACCAAGCGATTTGTATATTTTAAGTTTTGAGATTTACTCGAATTCTGCAGAATATAACGTACTTTTAACGAATTCACAGTCAAGCCTTATCACTTTCCAACCAACGTTTCTGATATCGCAAACAAACATTTTTGACTTTTCACACAAAGTTACCTACATTCGAGCCTTTTTCGGAATAACCACATTGCGACAACTTCTTAAAAAATGTTCGCCCGATCAATGAAATTTGGTGGTGACAAATGGATATTTTACATAAGTGATAATTAATATGTATACTTCCATATCATGATTAGATGGTTAAGCCAATTTTATTGATGACCTCATTGTCACAATTCGATTTTAGAATTCGATGTTTAATTTGGAATTCTATTGCATTTTATCTAACTTCTTTACGTCAAATCAGTCAAACTAAAAGTTTGTTTTAAGTTTATCTAAACTATAAACGACTGTTCAAATTTTGAAACGCCCATAACTTGAGAAGCATCGTATCTTGTTTATAGTGATCGTGTGTTTTTGGGAAGGACAGTCTTATTTTGTGTGGCATTACATTTACTTGCCATGTATTTTGAATGCCATTTGGAGATGTATATACATTATTTCTGTGTATTTGTGTTTTTATATGATTGCATGGGTAATGTATTTGCATATTGCGAATGCACGTGCGCATAAAATGCATGTTGAATTCAAATTGTAGTGATAATTTGAAACGTGTACAAATGTATATTGGAATGGTACCATATTTTTTTTTTATCAACACTTAAAAAATAATATAAAACAGACCCCCCGAGTTGGCGAGAAAAAAAAACCTTCAAAAAATATTTAGGGAGTAATTCATTTAAAACTTCCATATTTTGAGAACTGAATAATCTATCCGGCTATCTTTTGACAAACAGAGAAAGGTTCTCATATCTGTAAGCGCACTTCCACAAAAATATGCAAATTTATGTTATGTCTCTATATCATTTCATCGTGTATTTAAATGCAATGAATTTAAAGAATTCCCCGTGTATTGGAAGGTTATAGGTCAATTGTGTTTTTTTATATCGAAAATTAATTTGTGAAATATTTTCTTCGATTTTAAATTCGCATTTAATTATTGATTTACTTGATTTGGTCAAAAGGTACTCTATTGAAATCCTGCCATGTGAATAACTATATTCACAATTAGCTTTGCGTTTGTTATATAATTGTCTCGCTATTTGTGTTATGCAAACAAAATGGAGAAAAACATATTTGAGGGACTAAAACTGAAATTCAGCATAATTAATTAATTAATTTTAGTAGAATATAATCAAAACCAAGATACAATTTGTCGTTTCGCTAGCTTCAGTGCAAATTTGGTGTGATTTGATCTCTACTTGGTTTATTCCTGTTGTAATATGGTTACTTGTTTTTTACTTTCGGCTAAATCGATTTCCCCTTAAAAACTGCTATTCAAGTATCTTTGTACATGTATTTACAATTGATTGGCCCTTTAATGCATGCTTATTTTAATGCATGCTTATTTTAGGACATCAAGCATCTTGTGATACAAAATTAAAATAAATTTGTATTATTTCTGATAAAAACTCACGTCGCAATTCCACTAAGGCAAGGATAAACGTGGCACATTTGTACAGTGCAGTAATTCAACCTATGATATACATGTTATAGTAATTCGATATGATTCGACTTAATAATAAAAAATAATTTATACTCTTTAACTGGAGAAAATAAATTACCAACCAAATTAACATCAATTTGTGAGTGTTTATGCAATGTTTTAATTTGTTATTTTATGGACTGTTAACGGAGTTAATGGCTTATTATGCTGCTAGGTGACATATAAACATTAATATGAAAAATTGAAATTGATTGCGCTCAAAATAACAATGAATTTCTCTGCATTGACTGTGTTTTAAGAATTATATTCCGTACCTATGCATCCACAATGTTAATGATGATCGTTTTTCATAAATTAGGAGTACCAGGTCTATAATGATGCAACATGAATTTCACCTATGAATGTTTTTCTGATGTTAACTCATTTTCATAAAAGTGATTTTTCATTTAACTGGTGACTCTCACATATACAGACTGTAAGCAAACCAGGAAAAAAAACTTATCATGACATTGGTCTGGATACTATCGACTCTATTGGCGATGCACGTCTCGGTAAGCCACGTATGTATACTTGGTATATAACATATTCGTAAAATCAAATAGAATTGTCGATTAAGTAAGCTTATAGTACCGTTTGCTCGCAAGGATGTATGCAATAACGAAGAAGATAGTACTTGCTATCCGAATACCTCGGTACAAGTTAAACACAAGCCTTGCTTATATTTACAGGGAGAGAATTGTCCAATAATAAACAGCTGTGACAGTAATTATGGTGTATGTGCATTTGAAAATGGACAGGAGATATGTAGCTGTTTAGATGGCTTTGTCCTTGACGATGATTATGTGACGTGCATTGGTAAGACTCTTTAAATACGCCATGGAAGGTACTAACGGAGTACCTTCCATGAACACGCCAAACCGACAGGCAGCGCCCTCACAGCGAACATATTGTTTTGATTTGTAGTCTTTTGTCGGCACTAGCGGGCGTGACATGCAGAAAAGGTTAATTAGTCAGACGAGTTGTCCAGTAATTATGTCCAGTAATAATATCTGAATCGTGAACTATACCGGCATGAATGCCATATGCGTCAGTAACCATAATGCGATGGTTTAATTAAATATCTGCAGTTCATATTAATTTATGAATAGACTGGATGACGAAGTTAACTATATGTGCGTTATTGGAACATGGTAACTAACACTATCAAACATAATTTCAGTGTGATTAGTTTACAGTGTTCATAAACATGATATATGCATATATATCACAACTATTGTCTCAGATAACGCTGACTATTTTGTTAAACTGACGTAGATGTTGATGAATGTGAGTTGGGCACTCATGGCTGTGAGCAAGGATGTACCAATACTATTGGTGGTGCCGATTGTTACTGCTTTGAGGGATACGAGATATTAAATCCACGTCTTTCCCATCTGTGCAAAGGTAAGTATGTGCTTCACATTTCGACATATTAGTAGTAACCGTCGGACGTATTCCCCAATGTACACATAGCCGTCTGACGAAAACCATGCATGTCAAACATACCTGGACTGATTGGTACAAAATCAATTCATAATGAAAGACTTTATATCCATTGTTTTGTCGACCTTTGACCAACTGGTTGCGTTTTTCTTCCCAAAAAATATTTAAACATTAATCACAGGAACTAAAAATCAACATTTGACATTGAATTGTTATTGACATCCCTCATGGAGGTTACTTTTCACATCGTTTTGTTTGGGCGATTTGTTTCCAAATGAACGACTGGCACGTTTTCCGTGATATTATTCAAATTCTGCCAACTTATTCAAATGAGTATCCCAGGACAACAACGCCAAATTCAAATTCAACGACAATTGTTTTCAAAAAATAAACTAAAAATAATTTGTTTCGATTCGATTTTATCGTCAAAACGTCATCAAGCGATGTTGTTTTGTCGCGGGGGGGGGGGGGGTGGTGTCAACGGCAAACAATAGATAGATACGATTGTTTTGAGAATTTCTGGTAAATCCTGACGATTTCAACACCAGATGGCCACTCGATGGCTTGATTGATCTAAGCGAATGAGAACTTTTGAATCATGATTTACTGAAATAATATTTAGCTATGTATTGTGTTCTGTATCCCTTAGATATAAATGAGTGTGACACAGACAATGGTGGGTGTGACCACACCTGTACCAACGAGGAAGGAAGCTTCGTCTGTTCCTGTGATGACGGTTATGATTTATTTGATGGCTGGGCTTGTGCAGGTGAGTGCCATACATGGAAATGTAAATTACATGCCCGTTACGAACATATAAACACGCAATACTTAATTCGCTGATTTAAACTCTCGAAAATAGCAAAGCACTCACCACTGTAAACAGACGCGCCCTCACTTGGCGACATTTACCGTCTCATTAATTGTAATCTGAATGTGCGATTCAAATATACGATGCAGGATTGAAAAATTATACTAAAACTGTCCCTATCTCAGTTTTTTAATGATTCGCCCATTTTTAAAATCTACATCAATTGAAAAAGGCATATTTTCAACCGATAATTCAATGTTATAAATATATTTATGTCTTATTTTATAATTACTATATTTAATTACACTCGTGGGGCACAATTATACACATAAATGTTCGCGTATCTTGGAATGGATCGGCTTCGTATCGACAGCGAGACACTGGATTACCTCTAAAAAAAATTCAACATGTGTTTCACATTAAAGTGTAAGGACAGTCTCACAAATGTAACTTACTGTTGAAATTGAATCTCAATCACCATATGTTGTCCACGATCTTAATTCCATAGCAAAGGATTATGGTATGGCATTATAGCCATTGAACAAATAAGAAAATGATTTAATGATGTAGCGTACTGATGCGAATCATTCATGTAAAAATGTTGTCATAGCAATAGAACTGCAAATATTTAACTTTGCGTTTTTTACTAAATGCTCAATTCTTCGTATATTTTATATATTTCATTAATGGGAGTACAGTATAAGGTTACACCAAGAAATGAACGTAAATGTGTAATTCTATTTTCAACAATACAAATAATAATATGGAATAATTTTCGATTTGCAAACTCATTTTTTTTTTTATATTTACGCCACATGAACAATTTGGCTTGAACGAGAAACCAATGTATCCGTCTCTGTTGGTATTTTCATTGACCGGATATTCTTAACAAACGTGATAGAGACATCATGGTTGACTAAATGAATATCACATTCGTGTTCTGCTAATGCCATAACTAAATACTGCCCTCTATCGTAAATATTTAAAAATAACAATCAGTACACTTGGTATTGCCAGGGAATTTAGATGCTATACGTAGCATTATACTTGTCTAGTAGAACGATATTGATTGAACATTCAAATAAAATCCTACACATTCTGGGATTAAATACGGACGAATATTGAATAAACAAAAGTGAAAGTTGGTCAAATAAAATATAGGGGATGGATTATCAAGGGTCTTATAAGAATTACTGGATGCACTCAGTCGAATCAGGAAAGATATAAAGCGCAATATAAATTGAATTATTATTAAATCTACACAAAGTTTGTGTTATATTCAAGATTGTTGCAAGCTGGTACAGTAAAGGTACAACCCGGGCATCGACACGAATGATCTATTTTAAAACTATTCCCATATGATATTGTGATGAACATCCATGATTTGTTGCACACATTATCAGTTATTCGTTTTGCAAGCAGCATTGTCTGAAGCAACGTGTTTCAACGCGTTATATCGCATACACGAAGAGTTACACCAGCACATCTATAGTATCGATAATTACGATACAAACAAATTAAATTTAAATAGAATTACGGAATTAATTTTTCATGAGTATGGATAGTCGATAGTAGAACATGTTTGACACAAAAAAGTCAATAGCTACTATGTTGATAATTGAAAATAAACTAATTGATTGAATATGTAAATTCCTTGTCCAACAATATGTAGATTTATGAAACTGGTGAATGTCGTTGATTAGTGATTAAAGTAAAATAATCAGTACATTCGATGGCATTATAGATTTAATTACAATAAACATATTTAATTTAAATGTCAAAAATTGACATCACTAGTATGTCACGTCATCACCTGTGTAATGAGTAGAATACTAACATAGAACCACACAGCATAATATTTCACAAGTGCGGATAATTTTCACATTATCACTTCATATCATGAGTAATGTAGTGACATTCTAACGGTCGCTGACCCATGTTATAAATTTGATTGTGATACACATTGTTCTCGTTCGGCGAGATTTGTCTCCCGCATTGCTGAATCAGTCCCATACAACATTTAGTATTCGATTTACAAAGATTAGAACTGTTGAAATAGATATCACAAAAGGTTGTTGAACCCGGTAGCCTAGCACAAGTCGTACGCATCGCTCATTTTACCTGTATTATGTATTACGATATAGTTGACTCTCAACAGCTCACATAAGTCAAGGTAAAAAATGCACATCGTAACCGATGTTTTGTCTTTTTTTTGCAGAGTCCTGCGATAAATAATACAGAAGACGCACTGGAGAGGAATACATAATATGAATATTAATATTTGGAATCAATAGTGAACTAAAAAATCACATATAGTTATTTAAATGTATACATATTGAATAACTTTCGATTTTGTTGATTTGCTTTCATCCAAAATGCAACGACCACATCAAAATAAACCCACAGCAAACGCCGACGACCATGTAATCGTTTATATAATAGTATGTGTTTGTAACATTTAAAATAACAGTATAAAACATAACTGTACGAACTGATATGTGTCCTCGTGTGTTCTTGGCATTTTATTTTACTGTGATAACAACGTATTAAGTAACTACAGAATAGAATATACGACATTGAGTCTTACAAGTAATACGTTTAGATATAAAAAGAAAAATATCCCTGACTGTCAGTGGGAAAAAAAATAAACAACGCTAACAACGCAGACTTTGATTTATCAGTCCTGACAGATAAGACAATGTGTAAATAGGACTTGGATAAATAAGTGCGGGGAATTCCAGAACCGAAACGTTATAACGAATAGTACTTTGTCTGTGCGCCTACAATTAGGCTACCAGTTTGCAAATGTATCCATCCCGTTTATCGTTATTGGTGTTGTCAATTGCATCGGGGCACCTCGGCTCGTACCAGAACATATCAAGATCGAGCCCAATATAAGTATTCACTATAAAAGTATTAATAAAGTTGGCAGAACTTTCACTGGGAATCTTCAATAACACTCCACCATTTGCCTCACACCCTAGATTAGCGTCGTCCAAAGTAATACCATCTTGTTGGTTGACCAGATACTTCTTACACCTGCTCACACTTGTGGGTGTTGTACTACTGCCCACTAGAAATAGAATCGTGTACTCATGCGAAAATCAATCCATCTACAAGTTTTATAAAGTAGCATAAATATATCGGCTGCATTACATTTTCTATCTTGGAAAAAACATTCATTCATTTATTTATTTATTCCATATTGATATTAAGACATTTTATTTTATTAAGACATTTTATTCACATTTCATAACGCGAGGATGTGGTTCCAAACGTGTTATTCTCGTAGCAATATATCGATTATAGCCGTTTCATAGAATATGGCAGTTATTGATCTACTTGTGAGACAATGCATACTGGTATAACGAACTAACCTGATTCGCACGTGAATCCATCAGGATTTAACACAAAGCCAGAGTTACAGTCACAGTAAAAACCATTAATTATATTCCAACATAACTGTTCACATCCACCGTTATTGGTTTGGCACTCGTTGATATCTGTTGATATCAATCGGTATTATTGATAAGTTTGAAAACGTTTTAAAAGATAAAATATAAGCATAGATCGATTTAATATACTAAAGCGATACCCCTCAGAGCATCCCTTTTATCCTAGGGTTCTTTTAGTATACAGGTGTGGAAAACCTGCTATGTAGTGCTGCTAATTTAAGTGGCTATTTTAGTAACACTGATGACCTGGGGTCACGTTCACCAGGAGCCGAGAACAAACTTCTTATTTATCGATTTTTATGTTGACATTCGTTCCAAAATTCTAGTTATTATATTAGAGTCTCAATTATTGTTATGAACATTAGCGAAGTTCAAATATGAGAAATAATTCTTAGTTAGAACTTTCGGGTTTTCAGAGCGCATTATGAGAGTTGTTATGAACATCGTGACTGAATTATTATCGAACAACAAACATTCAGGATAAATCTCATTGTACAAGATTCGTGATTTATTTGTGTATACACTCTGATATCGGGAAATCGTTTATTACAAAATTTATGCACCAGCTATTCTACAGTCATTCGCGATGATTTCACTCTGATTTGTAAGATCAATTCTCCATACTCTTCCATTACCCATGATACTGTTAGAGCCTCGTTGGTAGGTTTTTCTAGAATTTTCAAGACGTCGCTGATGTAACAAGTGTTTGTAAACCGTTCCGTTGAAATAAAACAGAGTTTGTGTTCATCGAGAGCCGTGAGTTTCCTCTGTGTCACTGGGAATGGGCGAAAACCTGTATCAGAACATTAAACGTTCCCCACACAGTTTTCAAAGTACAGTCATGACCTGAAACATCTGGGGAATTATAAAAATAATTGATTTGTTGGCACCCAAAACCATATATTTTAATTGGACTTATATTTAACATAACAACATATATGTTTCATTTTTTATATATAAGAATTCATGTTTATATTGTTGTTCTATTAATGTTCGCTCCTTCTCGCGACCAGGGTGACTATTTCTAGGTAAAACTTTCAGCCGTATTCAGGGGAATGTAGTGTTGTATTGCAACATCGACCGTCATGTGTTACTGTCTTCATTATTTTGTACAAGTAATATTTGTCTTGAAGAATTTTTGAGTGTTATATTATTTGTTACATTTGAGATCTATGAATGAATTTTGGCGATAAAAACTATTTGTATGTGCTGCGAACTTTTATGTATGGAGTAACAAAGGCCAGACCTCTGCTTCCATTAAGCTTAATTTATAAAAATGTCGTAACAGCAGATTGCGTTCTGATTTTGTGTTCTACGCATAAACTCCATTGTCCGTCCGTCCGTCCGAATTATAGTTTATACTAGTCTGCAGATTGTTTACTTAACTACATGCATACTATTTTTTTGTAATTGATATTAGCTTTTCCGTATATCACCAATTTAAATCATTACTGAATCCAAAGTTTAACTGTAGCTCAGTTACTCATAATGGTAATGTTCGCGAAGTTCGTTTTCATTTTATAGGTTACATCGACACGTGTCAAGGTAGGTGTTATTTTGGTTCTCGTGCAATTACGGTTTTGCATTTGCTAGTTTAGCCTTCAAGAGAAACGCTTATGCGAAATGTGGCAAGTTATCTGAAATGCCATTACAAAGCGTTCGTGTGATTCTCCCCGATCTACTCGGCGATATCAAATTCGTGCTAAATAATGTGATGAAGTGGATAGTTCACCATGGACATACTCACCGCATTGGACACCATCAACCCACAATTCATAGCCCACATCACAGGAACATGTGAAACTGCCATCACTGTTCGTACATACTTGTTCACAGCCACCGTTATTTATTAAACATTCGTCTACATCTGCGGAAAGAGATGACGGGCCAGCGCTATTATGAGAAAATTGACCAAGTCGATACTTTTTTTTGATTTTTTTTTTAATTTTGATGTACGTTAGTCGATGCCTTATTCCTAGTAGCACAGACGCTGTGATTTGTGCTATCTACGCTGCATGATATAATCATGAAGAAAAAATAGATTGATTTAATGAATGATTTCATGATCTGAATCTCATTGTATGCAGATCGACTTTTCTGAAAATAGTTCGAAATGACGTGCAATGAACATGGCCTACTGTGACTTGTTGGAATGTAACTTGGAAATGTGCAATTCGAATCTTGAACAATACAAACAACATGCAAATACATGTACACATATATAGAATCATGATTTAGAACGAACTGGGGTATACTTTTAAACGAGGTTATTTACTTACCTTTACATAGATGGGGCAGACGTGAACTTAATATCTCGTATCCCTCAAAGCAGTAACAGTCCGCACCTCCAATAGTATTGGTACATCCTTGCTCACAGCCATGGGTACCCAACTCACATTCATCAACATCTACCTCAGTTTAACAAAACAGTTATTTGAGGCAATAGTTTATAGGTATACATATAAATCATTTTCATAAATTTATATTTGACTAAATAACGCTCGTTATCTGAACTTACGTATACTTGAAAACAAAGTAATATACCTATTATGTTTATATTATAGTATTATATATTACCTCGTGTGTATATTATGAACATAATGTATAAATGATGCAATGTATGTAACCTAATGTTACCTAATAATACTAACTTCACTGTATATTCAATATTTGTAATTTACAATCGTCTCAAGTAGGAGCAATGTAAAGAAAACCATGATTATAGACTCCCTGTCAGATATGAACATCAGATATGAACATATTTTACGTCTTTGGAAAACCCTTAATAGGGCATGTGTTTTTGAGATGACACCTACCATTGCATGTAACTTCATCGGTATCCAGCGTAAAACCAGCAAGGCAACTACACACTTCATTTCCTGCTACAAGTTCACACAAGCCATGTGAGCTGTCACAGCTATTTGGCAGTGAACACGGGAGTGCCTACAAATGTCGTATTAAAACAACATATTAGTTTCGCTGTAAAGCTACATACTGCGAACTATGTAGAGATTGAAGATAACAAGTAGGGCTACTCACGTGACATGTTTGTAATTGAAATATCACCATACAATAGATAAACAATTGTATCATGATGTCCTGTTAAATTGATTTTCACTTTTCTTTTTTGCCTGCTTCGATCTCAGCTGCGCCAGAACGCAAAAGATAAAAAATAATAAAGTTAATTCACTTATGGTGATGTAACATATTTCCAAATAGAGGACATGTCCTTATACGCGTGTGACACCGCCATATATTTTGAATGCTAAGGAATGCAAGTGGATATGAGTACGTGACGTTGGATCTAAGTTATTGGATACTGGTGGCATTCAACTTATTGCGTCAAACAATCAAAATCAAACACAACATTTATTGACATCAGAAAGACGTCATTGTTTGATATTAAATCAATACAGCCAAATGACCACTGCTTTTAAGGTTTAGCAAAATAGTTGTTCTCAAAGATATTTTTTCTATTTATATTATGATTGCTGTGTTTCTTCATTATAATGCATAAACTAATATGTGAGAAACACAATCACGAACACGATTCACGAGACGCGAATATAAATCTTATTTCACACTTATAATAAGTTAGAAACCCATTATGGCTGAACGTCACAAACCGTAGAAACATACCACGCGTCAACGAATAGTTCTGCCTACGTACATTGCACAAACCATTCTACAGGCATATCGAACATAGCATGGTATAGTAGTTACGAACACATTATCACGAACGCGATGCAACCATCAATTGTTTTTAGAAATCGGTATTAAATAGTGTACAAACCTGAATGACGCCGTCCACTCTTCCAACAGAGTCAACTATTATAACCGTTGCTTTCTAAATGTTTTATATATTGGTTGGAGATTGAATAGATAAACAACTGTAATTACGTTAACGTATGCTTATACGCCAGAAACCAATTTCTGTGTCGAATTTTACTAACAACCAATTTTACCCACCAACCTGTATACTAATGTTTCACTTTGTGAAGCGTAAAAGCCATATCAAAATGGCAAAGTGTATGTTTGTGTGTTTTAATAGTAAATCATTCATCCATAACTAACGTTATCTCCTTTCAAGGAGTAATTGTATTAATTTAATAGTGCATGGTTTCTGGGGTTTTGTTCGCGGTAAAATGGATATGATTTATCATTGTATTTTGTTACAGGTCCTGAACATGGCCGTATGTTCAGTGAGCTTTGTGGATTATACCGAATGTACGTGGATTAATTAGTATTGGGGATTTCGGATCAACATCGACTACTGAGCAAACTGGCATGATCGTGTGATTATCATTACTACTGAATATAAGTAAAAAGTCCGATTCATTTGGCGACAACGAAGCAGAGACAAAATTATGCAATGTAATTCCCGTATCGTGCATGTTCGATTATAAATTAATATTGTCCTTTTCATCTTTTCGATGTATCACGCCTGTTTTATGGGGAAAAAATGTTGCTGATAGTGCTACGTAGGAATATAGTTTTACAAGTATTATTACCGTATTGATGACTTCTAGTTCATTGAGCCGAAAAGTAACGTCACTTATATATCGAAACATAAATAATGACATAAAAAGGGGTTCGGTAAAATAAATATGGTGGCAAAACTGACACATTAAAGCACGGTTATTCAATAAAACATGTTTTGTATGGTTAAATCCTGTTTTCTTGTAAACACAAGTCATGTCATTTTATCAATTACGTCACTTAAAACTGATGGAATGGATTTGTCCATTTTGTTATGAATTATACTTCCTGTTTATTTATATGAAGGTTGACTCAAATCACATTTTCAAGAAAACGGTTGTTCTAGCTAAGCGAATTACGGACAATTTGTCGGTATTAACACTACTTTATCTCTGGTCCAATCTCGAAGATATTACGTTGATGACATGGGGTAAACAAATTGATTTTGGTAAAATATTTGGCTATTTTTTTAAAGATACGTTTCTGTTATACACAATTCTCGGTAAAGCTTGTCTTTGAAAAGTTTTCTATGTATTTCGCGCATTGCATCACGGGAAAAGGTCGACATAGTTGACTTTTACATAACTCAAGCGAAATACTGGTCGACGTTCTTCTGAGAGTGTTTTATCAAGTATATATTTGTAAGAGGCTTTCCAAAATATGTTGAAATATTTTAGTAAGTTAAAATGTCATATTATTATAATTTAGATAGAGTTCAATACGGTTTAGTCGCTGAAATAAAAACGTGAAATAAAAATAATCTCACCATAGTAATAAGACATGATAAAAATCGTATATTAAGTTGACAGAAAAATAACTTAACTTGGTCCCATAACTGAACCAACACAGGAAAAATTAAATGCTGAATAAAAAAAAATATATTTTCCCGAAAAAATAGCAGTTTATATGAGCAAATAGTTCCGATTTCGGATTCTCGGCCGAACGAAGGTAGTAAGAGTTGTATTTCTTACATTACTGGTATATTTTGAGGTTTAGTATATTGGCCAACCAGTATTCCATACATTTTGATGAGTTGCTGTGTTCCAGTAACGTGTAAAAATATACAACATAAGTTTGAATAGAGATGACACATTTAACATCAAAAAGACGTTGAAAACTGCATTTTTATAATTTTATTAGGTGAAAATACACAAGACACAGAATGACAGACATAACTCTACTTCTGTGATGGCTGGCGATTCATTGTATTTTATATTGCCATTCAGCGCAAAACATCGCTCACTATGCGTAGTTTGTACTGTAAAAAACAAAACATGTCGACCCCGGAAGTTTGAAAGTCACGTGGTTATTATTACCGAATCGAACAGACGCGCTGTATTCGAGGTACTGAGAATTGAACGATGTTTTCATATTACCTAGGTCGTACATAATTCAACATAATGACCAACTTTCTCAGAATATGAGGATCAACTTAAGCTATAAATTTATTCTGCATCTATCAGGCACACAATTTGTAGTCAAAATTTTAATACAATATTACCATTAAAATATCCTGAATTAAACTGACATGTGAACAGTATATGACGACACGACTGGAATCAGCAATCATTATGGAAATGTTGTCTGAATCATACATTTGTATTGCGCTTTCATTGTAAATAGTTATAGTGTGGTTTAGGTGTTATAAACACTTGCTTGTCGAACGTGAGAGAAAACATGTAAGCGGGAAATACAAATGAGTAAATTGCTCGAACGTAAAAAAGGTACAATAACGAGTGAAGTGATTGGTATATATCTTATTGGCTGAAATTAAATGATTCTAATTGGTCGAGAGTTACTCCTTTATACGAAAAGATAAACAAATTCATACTATAATGATATGACATGTAAGTTAGAATAATAATAGTAATATTAAACGAATACACATATATATTATGAATCTGCGACAAATTACCGGCAAGCATGTGCCGTACTATCATTGACTGATAGTATTGTTTTTTTGTTTTGTTTTTTCCTGTTTTATATCTATTTTCTCAACAATTCTCGCTTAAGCCTATCAATTTAATACGCACATTTTTCATTCTCGCACTGTTTCTCATATTAGGTAAACGCGATAACTCTTGTTTCCACACTCGTTATTCATAGTACAACTCTTACCTTGCTTGAAACAACATACTTGTTTATTCACATTGATTTATTTAATGACCGTCCGAGGAGCAAACTAATAGGAGACTGTAGCATATGTGGCTCAATCATGGGATACTCTAAACAACATGTTGATGACAGTCACACAACGAATACTGAAGAATCACTCGCATTTATGTTTATGTATTTATATGTATATCGGTGACGCTTTTCTGGAAGTACAAGAGTGATTATCTCTTGTCTCATCCAAATGCTAGGTATATTATAAATAGGTTGAACTTACTAATAGGTTGACATATTTGCTTGATTGCCATTACATTTACAATGTATTGGAATTACTACGTTGTAACAACATTTTTATCCTAGAAGTATTGATTAGTAAAGTCTACCTTTTAAAAAAAAAACTTGTTCTGCCTTTTTTGACTTCTACAGCACAAAGAGAAACGCACTTTTTTAGGTACCCGAATTTGATGACATTCTCCCAATTAGTATATATTTAGTGCTGTATTTTTGCCAAATCTCCTAATAAATATTGAAGGTGTGAACAAATTACGTTGACGAAATATCTCCTGAACAAAGTAATTTTGTTTTCAAACATTGGTAACCTGCTCTGAAAATCTAAATTGAAAAACGTTTGATGTTGGGTTGCGTTTGGACTTCATAGTCACGTACCCTTGCAATGTCTAAAAACGTTAACGTCACCATGTTGAGTAATGTCTTATGATCAAGTCCGAAATTTGTCGAATTGTCGATCGTGAGATAATTGCCATTTCTCGGAAAAAGTGCCTATAACAAACTAATAATCGATGTAGAGACTGATTTGTTTAAAGCGAAAACACCCTGCCAGCATTGACATCACATCTATTGATATGCTGCAAAGAGCAGCAAATGGAAATACACAATGACGTGAGAATCGACAGTCTTTAAACACATCTTGTCCATATGTTCCCATTGACACAAATTAATTGGTTCCTGAAAGAGCACTGCGTTGTAAGTAGTTACTATTCAATAGCATATTTGCAGCGTGTGTCTACTCATTTGAATCGATATTATCTCTGCCATTCAGACTTTTACTACAGTGACACTGAAATCGTTTTTCATTAGAAATATTTTCTGACTTGTATGTATTATAACTAATAATTTAGTTTGCATTATCGGGAGATATGTGTGTCATTTCGTCAAAGTCAGCTACTGTATCAATAAACAGTTTGTCATCCTCTCAAATAATATATGAATCTTCGCAATAACCACTATTTTGGGTCAGATAGTAATTTTACAATGTTAAAAAATATACGATAATAAATTGTTATTTTATCAATGAATTTTATTGAATAACACATGTTAGAAATTATTCACAGATATTCAGTACAGACAAAAGAATTTTAATTCATTTAAACATAACTAAATGTATATAAAGCATATGTTTGCAGGTTATGTTATCTTCACATGTTGGCAATCGTAGGACATTTTCACGTAAGAGGTTAGTATGGGTACCATTACAGTTATCACCATAAGTGTGAGTCAGAAATGTTTATAGAAATGTCTTTAACATACGTATTTGTGTTTGCATGCTTTACTAGAATTTGTACTATGGACAACATGAAAACAGTCTTGGTACTTTCAGCCATGGTATGTGTACAGTTACACTCTAGTTGGGTGAGTACATCTACTTAAATAGTCATTGGAAATTACAAATGTTATTGAAATGACATACTAGAGATAAATGCTCCATTTATTAAAAAGAATTAAATGTTTATTTTATATTGTAACTTTATATCATAGTTATCTTGTTATATTATAGTGCATTTGTCCATATATTACATGCCATTTTCGGGTTACTTATTATTGCATTGCCTAAAAGTTAGCGCTAGTGACGCTTGTTTTAGCAAAACGTGTTATAGTAGCAAAACCAGTGGTTACTAAAAACAGTTCGAAGAAAATATCCTTCTTCCTGGACAGGGAATATCGTGTCCTACACCAAACAGCTGCGACGTAAACTACGGTACCTGTGAACTTGTTGATGACTTTGAAGTATGCAGTTGTTATTCTGGTTTCGCATTGGACGAGGATGGCGTGACGTGCAGTGGTACGTGATCTTATTACCATATATGTCATTGTTTATGTTTAGTTTATTATGTTATATTCATCATGTGCCATGTGATAAAAAATATAGATGATATGAGTGACCCTATAACACAAGATTTCTAAGTGTATACGATGTGTTCCATAAAAACTCATTATGGTCAGTTTACCCTCATGCGTATGTTTAATTAACACACGATTTCTAAATGTTTAATTTTGAAATCAACAGTATATTTACTAATTTTGGAGTAGATAGTCATTAGTGATACAAACTTACATGGACAGATTAGTTGCAAGAAACGCCCCCCCCCCCCTCCGCCTACATGCGGCTTCATGGCACAAACACATTTAACTGGTATCTGAGATCAACAGCAATATTCGAATTACTATAATTCCTGAAAAGAAATATAGTGTACACCCGCCAAAAAATTGTGATTTTGACGTTAGCCGCGATGTCAACATTTCAAAATGCCAATCAAACAAGCATTATAAACGTAAAAAGAATTAAATTTACATTGGGTCATATAAGTCAAGAACTTAGTGTCCGAAAATTCGCCTTTGTCTATTAGACATACAAATTGACTATTTTTTACATATACGAAACAATATCTGCCAAAGAAACTATACTTCTGGAATTGTGTGTAACAAAGTAACTAAGAATATATATATATATATATATATATATATATATATATATATATATATATATATATATATATATATATATATATATATATATATATATATACAATTTAAAGAATTTTTATTCACATGTTGTTTTATAATAACAATATGCATTCCTGTTCATTCCTGTTTGAAGACATTGACGAGTGTGCCCTTGGAATCTCTGGATGCGAACATAACTGTCACAATACTATTGGTGGAGCCGAATGTTCTTGTAATGAGGGGTTCACTATCAGGAGCCCACGAACACCTTTCTTGTGTAAAGGTAGGCAGAAAAACAGCTGAAATATGCCTTCAATAAAAATGTCACTTCCAGAAAATGGTATGTATAGTTTGTGTATTTTTGTGACATGAATGTTGACATTTTCTTTTCAAAGACATAGATGAATGCATGACTGATAATGGCGGATGTCAGACCACCTGTAACAACACAGAAGGCAGTTTCATTTGTTCGTGTGATAGAGGCTATGAATTGTGGGTAGACGGTAAGCAATGTGGTAAGTGCATGAATGTTCGGGAAAGGGTATTCTAGTTTATATATATATTTAAGTGTCTCGTGACATCGTGGAAATGAATCTATTCGTATATTGAAATGAGAATATAGAGTAAATACTATTTAAACAGAAACCTGCTTCTAAACTATTCACTATTATCAAATTTACTTTTGAAAATCTATTGCCACTACAAGATCGTTGACAACAACCGTATACGCAATAGTGATTGACAACCCAGCTTAGTTTCTGTTGAAAATAATTTATAGTACGTACCTAATAATGTAGTAACTATTTTCTCAGACATAAACGAATGCAGTATAAACAATGGTGGTTGTGAACAAATCTGTCACAATTATCTTGGTGGTTTTTCGTGTGATTGCAATGATGGTTACGAACTCCTTTCTGATCACTGCAGTTGTGCGGGTGAGTATGATTTTATTTCATAGATATTTCAAAGATATTTCGTTTTGAGACCCCCTTATGTTTTGCAGTGTGCTCATTTTGTTGTCTACAGATGTGGAAGCGCCACAGTTTCGTCACTGTCCTGCCGACGTATTGGTATACGTCGACGGAGAAACTCGGTATGTGAAGGTGGAATGGACAGAACCAAGGGTGAGTGATAACTCTAGACATGTAACGGTGACTTCAACGCATACTTCCGGCGACTTATTTCCATTAGGAGAGGCGACTAAAGTCATGTATCAGGCCACAGATCGTGCACGCAATGCTGCTAGGTGTCATTTCAACGTTCTTGTACGTAAGTGAAATTTGTCGAATATTCCTTATGCAGTTACTGTTATAAAACTGTTTAATCCTGACATATTCTATATTACTGTATTTGACTGTGGCGGGGTGTATATGAAAGGAAATAATAGTATAGTAGTATATATGATGTAATCAAGTAAGTTTTCAAAAGTTGTCTTTGCGAGGACTGACTCTTAATACTCTGCCAGTTTGTGTATTTAATTGATTTTATATGTAACCAACGTATCAAAGTTGGCGTCTGTCTGTGTGTACGTTTGCCTGTTTGTCTGCTCTTTTCTCTTTCCGTTTATATGCTTATATTGACAAGGCTCATAATAACTTTTCGTAATAACCTTAAAACATACAGACTTATCACCAGATGGAAAATGTGAAATAGAAGATGGTTTATTCGCCCACATGAGACATTGCCACAAATATATAATCGTTGACGTGGAGAAAAAGTACAATGACGCAGAACGTTTCTGTGGTAAATACTTTGTGAATGGAGAGCTGGCCATAATACATAACGCTGATACAAATGACTTGCTGACAAATTACCTAGATCAGATGCAATCCGACGGAACACTAGACGCGAACGGTTTCTGGTTTGGTGGTGCTTATAGTATGAGTATGACTAGCGGTATTGCAAAACGACGGGCTCTACAATCGTCAGTATGCTACAGCAATTGGAAAACATTCAGATTTTCTGGTTCCAGCAGCGAAGAGAGAAGCGGTTCAGACTCCGGTCACCACAGCGCATGTACGCAATTATGGTGAGTTTTACTCGGTACAGGCTATTATATAGTATCACAGGTGATACATTGGCACATTATATAAACTTGAAGATTTGTTTAAATGTTTTTTTTTTTTAATGTTCTTTTATTTTACACTGTTTAACAAAACACTGCATTTCTTATTTGCCATGCAAAGAGTTAGCTAGGAATATATTTCAAAATGAATAATTTGAACATACAATTGTGTGTGTTGTGTATTTCAGTGAATTTACTACATCGTCGTTGTTTATATAATGCACCTAAGTTATAAAAGCGCCGCCATGCTGTGCCGTGTTGGATATGGGTTTTACAATCGTTTACATGAAGTTGGACGCTTAGTCACTGCTGTGTCGTTTACCACGCCCTCTTGTGGCGAATACTGTAAAACGTGTTGAAAAAGCGACATGATATTTTAGCGAATTGTGGTAAAATGATTTAAGGTAGAGATGCAGTTTACCTGACAGGTATTTTAATTAGTTAATTAGGAAACCATGATGACCTCCCTTGTCCACAAAACTATATATTTTCGGAAAGCTTATTGTATGAATTTTAAAGTTTAGTTTGAAATATGCACAAAAATGTGCTTTTTTGGTCAAAAGTGATTTAAAAAAATTAGCTTCTAAACCATGCTTCTGTTTCCTGTCAAAATTGGTTTATGGGTACATCTGTTTACTATGAAGAAAGCGCCGTCTTGAAGACTGTCTACCAGTTGTCAATTTTGTAGGACAGCAGCTCAAATTTCACTACTTCAGGTTTATGCATAAATTAACACCCAGGCTAGTTGTCTGTACGATTGCTGTAACACTATTCAACTAAAAACAATGCCCCGACGGCGTTTTGAAGATAAACACATTGTTCACTCAGTAAGAAGTTTGCTAATGCTCATAATTAAAATGGCTGTTATAGTTTCAAATTTAAATGTATTATCGTTTTGTAAAAAGTTAAATACAGTTTATAATATGGAGATCCCGTCATTTCTTTTTTTTCCACCATTTTTGTTTATTCTTTATGTACAGCCTTGGTAAATCTTGCTAAGCATTCAAAAGAGATAATTTTGCACCAGTTATCTATATTTTAAGATCGTTTTTTGAGTATGATCCACTAAAGACAATTCTACAAAATTTCAACAGTCTATAGCCAAGACTTTTGAGATAATAAAAAGCAAAAAAGAAAAAAATTCACTCCCAAATATTGATTTAGCGAATCTCTCTTGTCATTGTTGATCTCCTGATTTCCCAATACTTGTCTGTCGCGTACCAAAACAGTTATCACCTCCATAAAAACAATGACAAACTGTCAAATGTAATTTGATTCTGTTCGCAATCATAACAAACTGATTCAACGGAGATTTGAAAAAGCGGGTATCGTTGCTGCGTTACATCCAGAATATTGACCTTTTATATTGGGACTAAGAATTACTAAGTATTACTAATTTCCGTAGTAATATATCAGTATCACTTCATTTATTTATGTTCATTGAAATAATGATTTATTTTTGTTGTGTTAAATTATTTTCAATAAAGTGTATCTATCATGTCAGTACGTTTTTTTGTTTTGTTTACAAAGTGTGTGTGGAGAAAAAAGACGTTGTTTGGCGGCAATTTTGAATTTATAATAAAGTCATTAGAGACATCTTGAATCAGCGAATCAGTTCTCTTGCTAAATTTGCTAAAAAAGTCATGCTAGCGAAAAAGACATGTTTTACAGTATACTGCGCCATTTTTTTATTTTGTCAAGCTCGTAGTGAAAAATCACGCTGTTTTTCGCGAGAATAGGAGCACGACGATTGTGTCTGCATAGAACCACGTGAAACTGAGATACGTTTTTTACATCCATCTATTGTACATTCGTTACAGGTCAGTTACGGAACCACAGTGGGAAAATATTAAGTGTAGTCACAAGAATGGATTTATTTGTGGATATGTAGAAGGTGGGTATTTTCAATAATCACCGTAAAAAAGATAAGATGTACTAGTAGTATACACCTGTCGCGGTATAGTCTCTCTAAGTTACAGCGTGTCGTCACAAGCTTAAGTGTTATTCCACGGGTTATGTGCATCCAAACGCGATTTTCAAGATGAAAGCATTTCCAATAGCAAAGTTCTAGATTGTGTAAAATGTGTTTTTGTACAAATCTTGAATGAATTACTAGTAGTTCGTTTTCTTCTAGAAATAAGTTTACGATGTTTACGATGAAAAGCAACTTAAATATTACTGGAAGGGTTGACATTGGTTTATAACTACTGGCTGCTGTTTTTGAAACTGATTTGTGTTCCGGGATATCCTTGGGTTCTACCGACATATTAATACAACAACAAAGCTGTGGCTTGTTTGTTTTGGACTTTAATAGGCGAGAGCTAATGCCAATTGCCCTACTAATTGGTAAATGCCGCAGAAACATCTGAAAAAAAATGTTTTTAGGTTATTTAAAATTAGTAGAATTAGTTGAAAATTCACGAACAAGATTCAAGCCCTGATGCGTAAACCACATAAATCGAGATTAACAGTATGTAAATTATGTGTACACTAAACGTATGTGTAATGTCATTTTATTTCAGAATTTGCCTTCTTAATAGACGAATGAAGATAATGTACACATTATGGGTGAATGATTTCCGAAGCATGCCATGAAACGCTATGTTTTTAAAATGACAATACTGTTGTAGTTGAATAAATATAGATATAACAAACCTTATTCCAAGTTTCATTGCTATGGTCTGGTTTCCAGTTTGAATTCTGAGCTGAGTTTAGCCAAGCCTATTGTCGATCAGCCGGACCATATCAACAATTTTGTACCGAAACTAATCACCATCACTTTGAATTAGAATGCAGTATTGCATGAGTAAACATGAGAGACATGCGTGAAAATGATCCAGAAAAATAGTGGATAAGTAGGTAAATTCTCTTATAGCATGTAAACGAATATCGTAGGCTGACCATTTGAGTTGATTTCATTTTAATTAACTGACAAGATGAATACAACAAAGGGTGATTTGATGACATACACATACATTACATCAATTATATTCTTGGAATAGAATAACTGTTCTTAAAACAAATATAAAATATAATTTGTCATTTGCTTCGTGTGTGCCCTCTAGTGTTCGTCGTCGTTTTATGGTTGACGCAAGGTGGCGCGCTAACATGTTACGCTATATTAAATATATACGACTATCGTGTTGTATGTAAAGTAATATAATGTACATGTAGGACACTGAGCTTTCTTGTAAATTGGACGTATTCAAATCTGATTCTCACAGGCACATTCCCATTGCATTTCCAACGCACTCAACGTATACACTTTTGGAAAATGTATTAAGTAATCGGTTGGTACGTTCGTCAAGTTCGACTCTCTATGACGAGTGTCGTCACGGTGAATGTTTGACGTAGAGTTGAAATACGGCTGGACACATTGGATTGTAAATTATCATAATTTTTTTTTTTTTTTTGCAATACACAACAATGATAAACAAAAACGAATCGAACAAATACTGTCCTATGTGATGCAGCCCAAAGTGGTTATTTCATGATAGATCGCCATCCAATATGTACCGTATACAACGTAATAATATACATTGTAATATCAAATACTTCATGGGTTTAACAATTTACTCTCAGCACACACATAACAACTAAACAGCTAATAAGCGGGAACGTATTGTGTAATGCTCATAAAAAGAAAACGAGACATAAGTGTGTTATTCCTTCATGGCGGCGTATTCGAATACTATTACTGACTGGTGCAGTTTATGTTGCGCCCTCAACATGTTTCGACACCAATGATTAAATTATGTAGATTTCATGAATTAATAATGACGTTTCCACGCATGGCGGTGAATGCGTATCGGAATCTATCTCCGCAAACCACTACGACTTGCATTCCAATCTATGACTGATATTATCGTATTCACTCAAATGTGATAAATGTCATCACGTGGATATTGATCACGTGGCTGGATGCATTGGACAATTCATACAGTATTTTGAAGCACAGTCTTGGTTATAAAATAGATATATACCTATACAAATAAATTGGTCAACAATAGCGGGATAATTATTGCATTACGATCGATATAGATGTTTTTCCATAATATATTCTGCAAGAAAGTGCTCACAGTCATAACGCAGACGTGTTGTTAGAACTTCTTTTTTTGTTTTACAAAAAAATAATTAATTGTTTTAGGTCCATTTAGCGTGATCGCAAAAAATAACGTGACCGCGAAATAGATTCCGACGGGATTTCTTTCGCGGTCACGCTAGTTTTGCGATCACGTTAAAAGGCTAAATTGACAATTATTTTTTTTTTGTCTAAGTGTTGTCAGCGGAAGCTACTTATCGTGTTTGTATGCAGTTAAATAGAGGTAACGGACAATATACAGTGTGGTCATTTTTTAGATTTATATTTATTTCAGCAGACACGCTATTATGACATTTGAAATGTCTTTCTCACAAAGACTGAAATATTTCGACAAAAAAACTTTAACCGAGCCCCCAGCTTAAAATTTGACTATCAATTCAAAACATAACATTTCCAAAATACCCGAACTTCAGCTTTTTAAAACCTCTTTCTGGTTCATTAATATTTTGTGTCAATATAATTCATTGTTATTTAATTGCAATTACCATGGTAATTACGTCATCGGTTGTGCCGCTGGCTGAATTAGTATATAACACAACATACCACCGTGACGCATACCGGAATATACAATGAACGGCGGATTACGTCAGAGTGCCTGTGAATGCGCCCGTGAATGAGCCACGCACGATGTTTCACGCGTGACGGGCAGCTTGAACCATGGCTTGGTAGTGGGTAAAGTTTTAGAGAACGATGACAGATTTTGAAGTAAACTTCCAGGTAATTGGTGCCGAACCGCAATAAAAGTAGTTATAGAGATGTAAATATAAAAAAACATCGTAATGCATGCTCTGTCTCTCTTAACATATGGTCATACCAAACGTGCCTTGCAGTGGTAACATGAAAATTAATATCCGGTAATCAAAGCAATCAGCAACATACTCATTACTGAATATAATAAACATCGTAGGCAATATCCACGTTTACTAACGTATATTATCCTAATTATTGACTATTTCGACCTCAAATTTTGGTAAATAGGTTTTAATGACACATGGAATAATGTTGGTCGTAACTACTTAGCTGGGTAGGTTTTTTTGTTCGCGTTGAATTACAAGTCGTGTGAAATTTACAGCAGCGCCCTCATCTAACAATGTGCTATATACAGATTTTATAATGGTTATTGTTGACGAAGTAAGGGTATTCCAATATCTAATTTCCTTCTGAAACATTGGTATTTCCACATTGAGCTATAAAAAACAGAAATCCGAAATCAAATCATTCGATTTGTGCGACAGAAGGGCCGCCCCTGTCATGCAATACGTGAACTCTCGCAGTGAACCGAAAATTTAAAACGAATAAATTATGATTTTCTTTCTAATGGTTCTCGAATCGACAGCTTGTACACGTGTAGATAATGGTGCATGTGTAGCTATAGTCTGATATACTTTAATGAACACATTACAACATTCAAAACTTTTCTAGATAAACAACGTAAACAATGTTCAATCTGGGTTTATAGTTCACTGACACACGCCGTAAACCATGCATTCGACTAATCCGTGGAATACTAATAAATAAACTGGAATGTTGACCACCGTCATATCATATTACTGATTAAAATGGACAACCAAACACCGTATGTGATCAGTGCACTACCCAATTAAGTTGTATTCGATGAAACAATATGTTATATTATAATTACAACACGCAACTCAAATAATCTTAATTAGGAACTACTTAACTTGGTATCGTAAGGCGGATACGACTGATTTCGAGAGAGTAAACTGGCTTAAATGTATTCCTCATTTGCATAATTAAAAGAACAACGAAACCTTTTGCGAGATTAAAAGTTGGAGAACGCATTAGAGTACGGGGACGTAAAAAGAGAGGAAGAGACCGAATCATTAGGTAAGCAGACATTGATTGCAGCGTATTTTATTTATCTATTATTTAGTTTATTAGAATATATGTTCTTGCTAATCTACCGGAATAAGTGTGTAGCTCCTTTGCTTTTATAATAACCTGCCTGGAAAAGTGATCAGGTATTTGATCTAAACTGTTCATTATTGTAGTTAGAAACAAGAAAAATAAAACAAAACAAACTTCACCGGGATGGATGGATGGATAGATAATAATTGTATTACTATATGTGTTGTAATTCTTGTTTCACATCACTATCGTGTGCAATTTACTACATATTTAAATTCGCCAAGTGTGTTTACCGAAACATAGTAATTGTGTCCTTATCGTATTAATGTTTGTATTGCAAGATATCGCCATGAAGTGTTCTCACAGATCGGTGATCAGTTTCCTGGCGTCTATTTTCTTACTTGGTTTGGCACAAGGCTCTAAAAACGACGTAAGTAAAGTTTTCTTTAAATCTTGGGTTTCCTGGCACTACATTCTAACGTCATTGACAATTATACCCATTACCTGACAGCGTTTTAAATTCTATTTATTTGTTATTTCAGGGCCATAATGTGCGAAAAAGAAATGCTTGTGGTACGTCACATTAACTTTATGCCAATTTCGATTGTTTTGTTTTTTTAACTTTTGTTTCACCAACCAGTCGTAATCATAGTAATTTCTGTTTGTTGGGTGACGAATCAATAATACTGTATTTTCTTCTGTATATAACAGTCTGCGATCCAGATTTAACAAACCTTGGTCCTGGAGCAACTGGCCCGATTAGTTCACCAGGTTGGCCAAATAATTATCCAGACAACTGTGATTGTACAACTACTATTCAAGCACTTCCTGGTAACGTTATTGAGATACAGTTCCACTCATTCGATGTACAATATAATTCAATACTGTGCGGATCCGATTCGGTCAAGGTAAGGCACAAATACCCCAGAACCAAGCAACGACAATTTCAAAATCGGCCTGTACTACTAAAAAAAACAATGTTACTCCACCACACTACACACGGGCTTCTGCGGCTGCTGGGTAATTCACAGCATACTATGAACACACTATGATTTATAAATTTAATTGCTTTCATTTTTATCACCAGCTTTTCGATCCAATGTACCGGAGTAACCCTCTGTGGACAGTACTCGCCATTGTGGACGTCAACGGAAGACATGTGATCGTTAGCTTCCACAGTGACGGTAGCAT